GGCCCACCGCCAGGGCGGCGCTGCAGGTGCTTGCGGCCGCCGGGACAGGGCGGAGTGGGGCAGGTGAAAGGCCCTCCTGCGCGGCGCTAAGTTGGGGCAGCGGCCTAGACTTGGGAGTGCAGACACTGGCAGGGCCTCAGTGTCCCAGCTGTAGAGCTAGGAATGGTGCAATAGTTGCAGTACATATTCCGTACGGGGCCCATGCCAGACGCTGGGGTTCGGTCTTCCCCAATGCTTCTTTACACTTAGGAGCTCCCACCGGTCAGAAAGTTTGAAATATTTTGGCCCCTGGACAAAAGCTTATAGGTTTTAAGTTACTAACTCGTTTTCTTGTTCCAAAATCTGACAGCCAATTAGCTTCTGGTCAGCAGGTGTCAATAACTAACACAGTGGTTCAGAATTGCTTAATTATGACCAAAGGCAAAATCTTGCAGTTGATTAGTCTGTGAAAGACAATATGTACCAGATTTTCCTAATTTAGTTCTTTTGAAAAATTGGCAGTAGCCCTGGAGGGTCAATTAATTGGAAGTGCCGTTTTGTTGGTAGGTATGAGAAATCTTAAAGTGTGCCTACTCTTATGACCTAGCAATTCCACTTCTAGGAATGCATTCTAAAGAAACAGATATGTGGACAAAAATATATGTGCCAGGATGTGCTCCACAACATTGTTTGTAACAATAGAAAACTGAAAAACACCTAATTGCCCAAAGGTAGTAAATTGGCTGGGAAAATGTGGTACAGCCATTTGAAGGCATAATATGAAAGCATTGAAATGATGTTAAAAAGCTATCAATGTGGGAAAAGGTACATAGTGTATTGCTGAGAAAAAGAAAGCAGACCACATAGCTGTTTGTACAATATGATCCAATTTATGTATAATATATATGACTAGAAGGATAAAACAGTAGTTTTTGTCTCTGGGAGGTTAGACTGAGAATACTTTATTCAGCAAATATTTATTAAGCACCTAATCAGTGCCAGGCACTAGATCGTTGAGGTTAAAGCAGTGAATAGGACAAAAAGGGTGATTTTTTAAATTCCCTTATACTTTTCTGCCTTTCCTAAGTTTTCTGCTTGAGCATGTGTGCATTACTTTGTAACTAAAAAATGATATTAAAAACTAAAGTTTTAGATAGACTTTAGACCCCATTCCTACCACTCTGGACTCCTAGGAATCTAGGCCCGTCGCCAAGAACCAAGGTACTTTTGGGGATCTGAGGTCCCCTCTAGCTCTCTGACATTCTAAGAATTCTGAGAAAGGAGAAATGCTGGACTTAGATCAGGGAGAAAAAACTTGAAGGGCTTGGTGGAGGAAAGAGAGAGTTTGGGTCAGATTATACCTTGAACTCAGGTCACAAGGAAACTGGTGAAACCATATAGTTGGAAGACTGGTTACATTCTCAAGAGAATGTGGGACAGTTTACACTAAGATCTCAAGTGAGGAAGGGGACAGATAATCTCATAGTAATCGGTATCACCTTGGGCTCAGTTGATGAGAACAGAGCAGAGCACCTCGGGTGTAGTGGTGATGGGTGTGTTTAGGCGTGCTGCCAGTATGTGAGTGTGCTTTATAGAGCTTACTGTGAGCTCAGATGGGGGAATCATCCAAATGTGGAGGAAGAAGAGGGAAACACTAAGAAGACACACTTAAGATAATTAGAGACAACTGATTTCCTGGGGACCAAGTCTCCCACAGAGCAAGTCAGACACACCCCATAGTCTACCTGAAACAGACTCTCTACTTCCAACTCTACTCTCAAAGCCAAAGGAAGGAGGGACCAGTGGGAGAGGGTCAGAAGGCAGTCAACAGCTTCTCTATCCTTTAATTACCTTCAACCTCTGCTTTCAACTCACTGGATGCCAGAGGAGCCCTAGGGATGTTTTCAGCAACAATTATCAGTTATTCTACAAAAATTAAATGCCTCTTATACGCCACATCCTGTGCTAGGCATGGAGATGAAATGGTGGATAATGAAATATGGCCTCTGCTGTTTGGATGCTTATAGTCCGGCAAGGCTGACATGGGAAGGAGTCGCCATAAAGTGAGATAAACATTACAAAGGATGTATAGGCTTCTATGCAGGCAGGAGTGACCTCATCTAGGAGTCAGGGAAGGCTTCTTGGAGGAAGTAACAATATCAATTGATACCTGAAGGATGAGCAAAACCTGGTGGGGCAGGGTTGACAGTGGAGTAGAGGTGAGAAAGTGAACTTGGAAATAACACACACACACACACACATGCACGCACACAGTGCATTTGAGGAACTGCTAGAAGTTCAATAAGACTAGAGCATAAATTGCAAAGGGAGGAGTGATGAAAAAGGAGACTGGAGAGACAGACAGAGGCCAAGCCATGGGAGGAATTTATACCAGTAAGACTATGTCATAGGTAATAGTAAACTCAAAGTGGTTAAACAGTAAGAGATTTTATTGGCTTATGTTACTGAAAAGTCCAGATGCAGGTAGGCCATAGGGTTAGCTCAATCCAGCAACTCAATCATATCACCAAGGGTGTGGGGATGTTGATTAGGCAGGTGGTTATGGATCTGACATGGAGAAGAGAGGCCAACATAGGGATACTTGGCTGTCATGAATTTGTAGAAACCTGGAAGTGGGTGAAATTGCCTACAAAACATATGAAGAGGGATGAGGGCAGAAGGTATGAGAGTCGCCAAAACAAACCCATTTCTTCTCACCCTGTGCATCCACTTCAGTTCTAAGATGGCTAATGTCATAGTGGGCTAATTGGTGGTCCCCATAAAGATACGTCCATACCCTAACCCCTGCAACCTGTGAATATGAACTTATTTGGAAAAAGGGTCTTTGCAGATGTAATTAAGTTAAAAATCTTGAAATAAGATTCTGGGTTATCCTGGTGGGCCCTATCCAATGACATGTTCCTAAAAGAGACACCCAGTGGAGAGACAGGGGCAAGAGGAGAAGCCCATGTGAAGTTGGAGGCAGAGATTAGAGTTATGCAGCCACAAGCCATGGAATGCTTGGAGCCGCCAGAAGCTAGAAGAGGCTCTAAAGCCTTTAGAAGGAGCAGGGCCCTGCCAACACCTGGATTGCAGATTTCTAGCTTCCAGAACTGTGAAAGAAAAAAAGATTCTGTTGTTTTAAGCCACCCAGTTTGTGGTAGTTTGCCACAGAAGTCCTATGAAACAAACATAGATGAGGAGGTAGGCCAGAACTACAGGTCAGCCTCAAGGCCCCAGAAGGGCTTCCGTCTGTCTTTGCTTCCAGTCCATGGCTGGGGAGTAGGAGGCTTTTTCTCCTCCTACCCACCAGGGAATAGCGCCCTCCTCTGCAATCCTGGGATAGAAACAGATCCTAATGACCAGAGACTTGGCTTTAAGGTTGTGTGCCAGGTGTGTGTGTGGAGGGGGGGGTGCCCCAGTCAATTAATCCTGAGTACACTCTGTCCCAACCTGGGGAAGGAGGCTCAGGGAACAAGACTCTGGAAGTTCAAACCTGTTTTGGGGGTTGGCAGACTCCCAGCTGCCAAGGTATGATACCAGGTCAGAGTCCACATTCCCCACCCAGACCAAAGACACAGTCACACAAAGAAACAGAGAATTCGAGAAAGAGGCAGCACCATGCAGAATGGCATTTGGAAAATTATGGAGCTGTAACAAAGAGAGATCTGCACCTAGACACAGATCTGGACTCTGAAGTACTGAGAGAAAGCAGCAGAGAAGGCAGGGAGATGTGTGAACATACGGAGTAGCAACGAGAAGTATACAAAGAGATCCTGACAGAGACCTAAAAAGCAAAACGATGGTAACATTCAGAATATTTGGAAAAAGGGAAAATGAAATAAAGCTGGGATTGGTGTTGGAAAAGATGTCAAGATATAAGAACGCCAGACTCCAGTTAGTATGGTGTTTCTGTCTCCTGTGCTTCCCATAACCTCTTCCACCTCAACTAGATCACTTGTTACCACATTCCATCTTTTCCAGCTCCATCCAATTTAGATATCACCATGGACCTTCCATGTGTCAAGGTGCTGACAACATAGCTGACCAAGACCATGAGCTGACTGTCCAGAGTGCACACTGGATCAGATTGCCATGAATGGATGGCTCTTAATTTGGTCCAGAAATGGCAACCTAGATGGTTAGGCTAATTACCTTCTAAAATGACTATTTTGAGGACAGCTGTTGTTTGGCCACATAAGCTTTTGGTATACAGTATGGCAGTCACTCTGACAAGGCAGATATTCTGGGATGCCATAAAAATGTGATATCATGCACCTGGAACAGTTGTGATTCAACATGCACAGGTTATTGACAATGAGCTCCTTCAGGGCAAGGAAGTCAGCTTAGTCAATTTGGTTTTTCTCAGGTTCAGGCAAGGTGATCTGCAGAGAGACAATGCTTAATAATAGGTGTTGAATAAAATAATGACTCAATCAATCAAATACTGGACCCTGCCCTTATGGAGCTCAAGGCTATTAGAACAGATAAAAATGTCATAAATCATCCTAAAATGCATTAGATGGTGGGCAAGGTTATCAGTGAGGGCAGACAAAGTACTGAGGCACCAGAAATCTCTTCCTATGGTACAAAGTTAGTCAAGAAAGACTTCCTGGAAGAAGTGGCTTTTGAGCTGAGTCTTGAATAATAGAATGGATTTAGACAGGGGAGGCGGTAAAACTATTTAACATGGTAGTGGGTGCACAAGCACTGATCCATCAGAGTAGAAGCTGACTGTGGCATATAAGTGGGTTTCTGGAGCCATGCTGTGATAAGAGATCATGAGAAGGTCAGGAGAGTCCCCAGGTAGGAGCTGGGGTAGCAGTAGCACCCCGGAGTAACCCTAGTTACCAACAGAATTAGAAATATTTCAATATATTTGATTAACATGTACAATCATAAAGATATGTCCATACCCTAACCCCTGCAACCTCCTGAGATGGCCTTACTCTCTTTTGGTTTGTCGAAACCATAGGGGCTTTACTACAATGTGAGATACACAACAGTAGAGGCTGTTTCCAGTCCAATGCTGTATCCCTAGGACCTAGGACAGTACCTGGAGAACTGGAAGAGGCTCAATAAATGTTCATTAAATGAATAGGCAGAGACTGGGAACCCCAAGCCCATTCTTGGGGTCCTCTCACTTGTCTCCTAGCACCCACTCTTCCCCTCCAATCCATGCTCCACACCATCCCTCAACATGACCAAATATGGGAATTGAATTCTGTCATTCTCCTGCTCAAAATATTTGATGCCTCCCGTTTGCCCAGAATACAATTCTCCCATCATTTTTACCAAATTGAACTGCTTCTTTTTCATAGCCCTGACCAAATTTGGCTACTTCTGTATTACTTTCTGAAGCAGAATTCATCTCTCTCCCCTAAACCTTATGGTAGTATTTGCCCTCACTCCCTAGATGGTGAGCTCCCCAGGACAGCAGCTGTCTTGTTCATTTCCATACCTCTAGCCAGGTGCCTGACATATGGTAGATGCTAAAAAAAAAAGAGTGAATGGCTGCCCTGGCCAGTGTGGCTCAGTTGGTTGGGAGTTGTCCCATATACCAAAATGTTGCCAAATTGATTTCCGCTCAGGGCTTGATCTCCAGTAGGAGGCAGCCAATCAACGTTTCACTCTCACATCAATCTTTTTTTCTCTCCCTCTTCTTTCCCCTCTCTCTTAAAAAAAAAAAATCAATTAAAAAAAAATTTTTTAAAAAAAGAGAGAGTGAATAGCAGGCATTCCCAGCAGTGATAACTAGATGAACAAAGGTGGTCAAAGGTTTTGGGGAAAAAGGAATAGTTTAATTTGGCTGGAGTATGAAGAATAGTAGGAAGAGATAAGATGGGAAGGTCTCGGGTAAAATTTGAAGGGACATGGAAGTCAACTAGAGGGAGAAGATGGACAGATGGAAGAGACTTTGGGAGACAGTGGGAAGTTAGTGAAGGTTTTTGAGCAGAGGTGTAATATGATCAAAACTAAATTTAGTTTAAACCCATAAGAGTCCCTCTTGTACATAAACTCAGTTTTCCATTCATACTCAGATTTACCTCCCACCTACCCATCCACCCCCCCCTCCCTGAGCTCCTGCAGCAGCTTGCCCTCCCCCTTTCCTGCTCCCTGGCTGGGCAGGGGATGCACACATGGACTGCTCTCTTCTCAGCCAGCGGACATGGGGGCCCCAGCTCCCTGTCTTTCCCCTTCTCTGCCTGGGGCTGGGAAGCAGGCCAATGTTAGCTGAGGCTGGCTGGCAGGCCGCCGGGAGGTGCCCAGGGAAAGCCTGTGCAGTGCCAGGTGGTGCCTTGGGTTCCAGGCTGAGCCCATGACCCCGATAACCTTGTGCCTGTGCACACACCTGCCCTCACTCCACCCCAATCCAGGCCATGGTATCGAGGAGGGGGCACAGGGCCAGGCAGACCCGAGGGACTTTGGCTCCATCTCTACAAAAGGGCACTCTGTGAGTCAGCCTGCTCCCCTCCAGGCTTGCTCCTCCCCCACCAGCTCCTGTTTCCAATGCACGTACAGCCCGCACACACCGTGTCTGGAACACCGTACAGTCAGCCACATGGCTCCCCTGTGCCCCAGTCCCTGGCTCCCTCTGTTGATCTCAGCCCCTGCTCCAGGCCCCACTGTGCAACTGCTGCTCTTACTGCTGCTCTTGGTACCTGCCCATCCCCAGAGCCTATCCTGGATGCAGGGGACTCCCTCCGTGGGAGGAAATTCATCTGGGGAAGATGACCCGCTGGGTGAGGAGGACCTGCCCAGTGAAGAGGATCTCCGTGGAGAGGCGGACCCACCAGGAATGAAGACTGAAACAGAGGAGGACTCTCTGAAGTTAGAGGATCTGCCCACTACTGAGACTCCCACTGACATTCAAAGGAACAACAAAGGTAAGCAGTCATCAGCCCTCCAAATCTAGGTTCCAAGAGGTTTGTGTCTCCTTTCACTAAACTCCCAGCCAAGCAGAGATTATTCAGGAAAGGAAAGGAGCCTGTACTCTGACGGTAGCTTTTCCCAACCCCAGGGCTTCCAGTGATACCAGGCCCTTCCCCCCTTTCAGAGCAAAAAAGGGGGCGGATGGAGAGACAAGGGTAGGAAGAGGTGGGAAAGCGAGGGGAAGGTTGCGGAACATGAAAAGAGAGAAAACGTTAGGTAAAGAGAAGTAAGAGTATGAGGGAAGTGAAGAGGAAAGAGGGGAGCGGAAGAGCAGGAAGGGCTTGCGGACATGACCTCATCTTCAGTTTACAGGTGAGGAAACAGATCTAGGAAGAAGGAAACAGCCTGTAGGGGGTCCTGGTATCTTGACTCCCAAGCCAGGAACTTTGGGAAAAGAGTTGGAGACCAGAAAGGGAAGAGGGATGAGCAGGGAGGAGGGATAGGTAAGGGAGAAAGGAAAGATGCTCTACTAATTTGGGCCTGGGGACTGAGCCCCCCCATTTTACTAACACAGTGGTTGCAAACTGGCATCTGCAGGACCGGTAGGATCTCCGAGCGGCCGCCAGGCTGTGGTATTCTGTTTGGCTGCACATTGTTGTGCTTTACATCTGGTCAGCTTTGGGCATTTCTGTTCGCTGCTATGCCCACCTGAGTTTGTGAATTCCTGCTAGTGAGCGGGGCCCACCTCGTCTGGCCACTGGGGGTGGGGTGGGGTGGGGGCTGGGCTCAAAGACCCGACTCCTAACCCTTCTCTTTTGCGCAGGGGATGACCACAGTCACTGGCGCTATGGAGGTGAGACAGCCGGCCCGGCATAGGCCCAGCTCTGCCCATCTGCCTCCCGGCCATCACCGAGCTCCAGTCCTGGGCGTCCCCCCCATCCGCACCCGCCTGACTCCCACAGTGCCCGCTACCTCCGTCTGCGCACATTCCGATTTCTCTTTCCCCACTGTCTTCAGGCTCCACCTCTTCGCTTGTCCCATCCTACTCCCTAAAAATTCCCGATCCTATCCCTGGACTTCCCGTCCATACTCTGCCACCGCAGGCGACCCGCCCTGGCCCCAGGTGTTTCCAGCCTGCGCCGACCGCTTCCAGTCTCCCGTAGATATCCGCCCGCAGCTCACCGCATTTTGCCCCGCCCTTCGGCCCCTGGAGCTCCTTGGCTTTGAACTCCCGCCACGGCCCAAACTGCGCCTTCGGAACAACGGCCACACGGGTGAGGCGGCCCCGGGCGGAGCCTCAGCGAGGGGCGGAGGCTCTCTGGGGACCCGGCCTTGAGGAGAGGGACAGTCCCGCCGGCGCGGGGGGTTAGGCTGGCTGTCGGGGCGGCGCGGCGGCCAGCGGCCGGCTCACCCGCTCTCCCTCCGCAGTGCAGCTGACTCTGCCTCCGGGGCTGCAGATGGCTCTGGGTCCCGGGCGGGAGTACCGGGCCCTGCAGCTGCACCTGCACTGGGGGGCTGCGGGGCGCCCAGGCTCGGAGCACACAGTAGGCGGCCACCGTTTCCCTGCCGAGGTGAGCGCGCCGCTGCCTGCAGAGGGACTAAGGTGGGCGTGGGGGGAGGGGATCTTGCCCATTCCTACCCGCCTGTCCTTTGCAGATCCACGTGGTTCATCTGAGTACTGCATTTGCCAAAGTTGACGAGGCCTTGGGACGCCCAGGGGGCCTGGCCGTGTTGGCCGCCTTTCTGCAGGTACCAGCCCTGTACACCCCCCACACCCTGCTTCCCAATGCTCCCCCGGGCTCAGTATGCATATTCACCCTGGCAGCACCTCCTTATCAACCTCATTCACTCCTTAGTCCATTCATTCAACACCCACTGTGAGGGAGGCACTGGGCTTAAAAATGGATTCAGAAACTTGGATCCTTGTCTCTAAAGACAGCTGATATGGTAGACATATACAACGGGACAGAGTAAAAGAAGTGGTCAGGGAAGGCTTCTCAGAGGAGGTGAAACTTGAAGACTTCACTAGTGGGAAAGAAAAGATGTTCCATGCAGAGCAAATGGTATGTGCAAAGACTCAGAATATGGCCCATTCAGGGAATGACAGATGCAATAAAGTGGACATCAGGAAGAGTAATTTCTCTAATGCCCCTATAACAATAATGTCCCCTTTGTGAAATGCAGTCAAGTCTAGAGAAACATTTAGTGACCTCTTTGGACCTATAATGATCAAGGCTACATACACAGTGATTAGAGGAAGCTACTAAAATGAAGGGACCAGGACACAGGTGCTAGGTTCACTCATACCCTAACTAACTCAACGCCAGCTTCAAATCACAAAGTTCAGATAAGTGCCTCGGAAATAACATGTCTTTCCTCCAAGTCAATCACATGGATTATTAATGTGAATGCAGAGGTAACATGAGTACAAAGGTCATTATGGTTTTCAGGAATGGGGCCCAGGTCATGAGGGCCTTGTATCCTCATGATACGAGTGGCCCACCTTCCTCCTCCTCCGCCTCCTCCAATTTGCCATTGAAAACTAGCCTGCTGAGCTTGTTAGGTTAGTTTGCAGAACAAGAGTAAATCAACTCTGAGTAATACATAAGATTTTGTTTCCTCTGGCATTCTCAGAGCTGAGAAACGAGGGAGGACTGTGGGAACCCCACCTCACCTTCAGGCCACTAGCTGTAGCCCTAGATACGTGTATTACCTGTCTTGCACTGTCATCTCCTAGGAAGGCCCAGAAGAAAACAGCGCCTATGAGCAGTTGCTGTCTCATTTGGAAGAAATTGCTGAGGAAGGTATGGAGATGGGGGTCCCTTCCATAGGGAGAGTGTTGATGTGTGAACTGAATGACTAGGATCTTGATAGTAACTATGAAGCTGAACAGAGGCAAACAGGCAAAGGCAAACTTCTGCTCACAGGTTTTATGGTTTAAAAACCAAACACCAAACATAAAAAACAGAGTAAGACCCAAACCAAATAAGACAAAAAAAAAAAAAAATTAAAAAATAGTGTTTGGAACTTCAGGGGTTGAGTCTGGAGAACTAAAATTTTTCTGAAAACTATCTATTCTCCTTCATAAGCATCACATATTTTAAATTTGTAAATACTCTTGTAGGAAATCTTTTTCTTCTCAGTCACTCTGGGCCATTTTAAATCTCACCCTACTGGACCTTAAGTTTTGCTAAACTAGAGGGAGCTGTGCTTTTTGAGTTTTGTGTGTGTGTTTTATAGTTATAAACATATTTATTTACAAGTTATTCAGCTCATTTTCCTTTTTTAATCTTCTCTGGGCTTAAACCTGTGGTCCAGCACGTTATCATAGTATGCAAAGTAAGAGTGGAGACTCTGAGGGAGGAACTAAGGAGCAATTCTCTTACTCTGTGAGGCCCCAAAGCCCTTTGCTTTCTCCTAAGTTGTCTGTGCTGAGTTTTGGGAAGGGATACGCCTAGTGAAGAAGTGGTCTCAGGAAACTGAGTCAGCGTGGCTTCTGGGAGATGAAACTGTATCCCTACACCCAAGCTTTGGAGGGGAGCCATCTAGGTGAGATTCCAGCACAGGTCCTTTCCACAGACTCAGAGACTTGGGTCCCAGGACTGGATGTATCTGCACTGCTGCCCTCCGACCTCAGCCGCTACTTCCGATATGAGGGGTCTCTGACCACCCCCCCCTGTGCCCAAGGGGTCATCTGGACTGTTTTCAACCACACAGTGAGACTGAGTGCTAAGCAGGTGGGGCTGAAACGTGTGGATGTGGGGGATGTCAGGAAAGGGGTCTAGAATGAGGCGAGGAAGAGGAGGCATAGTGAAAGGGCCATGTGGGAGGAAGAGGGGAACATAGAGGGTGGAGACCTGATGCGTGGGCTGTGATTAGGCCTATGGTCCTTCCGTTTTCTTGTCTTGAGCCCCCCTTCCACTGTCTAATGACCTCCCTAGCTCCACAGCCTCTCTAGCTCCCTGTGGGGACCCCAGGACTCTCGGCTACAGCTGAACTTCCGAGCCACGCAGCCTTTGAATGGGCGAATGATTGAGGCCTCCTTCCCTGCTGGAGTGGAGCAGACTGTGGAGCCAGGTGCAGCTTTATCCGGTACCCCATGTTACCGTGTTCCCCAGCCACAGGTTTCTCATCCTCCCATGTGTCCTCATTTGCCTGTCACTGGTGTCACAGCCCCGGCTCTAACGTCTCCTTTTCCTCTTCAGTCCACCTGAATTCCTGCCTCGCTGTTGGTGAGTCTGGGCCTCTTCTCTGGCTCCTGATGCTGGGGACAACCCTTGGCACAGTTTAGTCCCAGGGGCTAGTCAGGACCACATCTAGGGCCTCTCCTGTTCTGCAGAGCAGACCTCCAACCCCAATAGGACAGAGTGTCAGATCAAGGTGGTGGTAGGGGGTGTCCTTTATTGTCCCCAAGGGCAAGAGTTGGTCAAATGAAGCTCCAAAAATCTCCTAGCACCCTCCTTCCAAAACGGCCTTTTACTTCATTTTTAGGGGGGGAAAAGGGTGGTTATTTTACCCCTTCTTATGTACCCATCTCCATCCCGTTGCTGGTCTCTTCTAGATTCTGATGTGCTGGGGGCAGCTGGAGAGCTTAGGGCCAGGGTGGGGAGATATATAGAAGCAGGCCCTGAGGGAACCCTGACTGACTCCTCTTCACTCCCTGAGGCAGCCTCTCCTCTCCCTACAGGTGACATCCTGGCCCTGGTTTTTGGCATTCTTTTTGCGGTCACCAGCGTGGCCTTCCTTGTGCAAATGAGAAGGCAGCAAAAGTATGTATTATACTGACCCTCTCGCTCAGGCACAGCCCCACTGCCTATGTGGAGTCCAGAACAGCTTCATGCAAACTGCACATAAAGGAGCTCATCCTGGGCCAGTTTTCTGATTAGGCTTCCCTGTCATGTAGACATCCAAGTGGGACCAAAGGGACCGCCAGCTACCATCCAGCAGAGGTCACAGAGACTGTTGCCTAGAGGCCTGGAACTTGGAGAAAGTGCAGAGAAGCCAGCCAGAGGAGTCTGAGGGGGAGCTAGAGACTTTGTTCTGTCCTTCTTATTACACCACTTCCTTTTTAATCACCAAAGATTTTTTTTAAATAAATGTTTTAAATAAAAATATGTGGAAGGTAGCTTTGTTCCCTAAATCAAGATGGTGTATCCATTTCCTACTGCTGCTGTAACAAATTATCACAAACTTCACGGTAATGTGAATTTATTCTCTTAAATTTCTGGAGGTGTTGGCAGGGCTGGTTCCTTCTGGACACTGAGGGGAGACTGTTTCCTTGCCCTTTTCAGCTTCTAGAAGCCAAGCATTCCTTGGCTTGTGGCCTCTGCCTCCCATCACTCCAAACTCTTGCTTCCATTGTCACTTCTCCTGCAACTTTGACCTTCTTGCCTCCCTCTTATAAGCACCCTTGTGACTATATTGGGCCTATCCTGATAACCCAGGATAATCTCCCCATCTTACAATCCTTGGCTTAATCACAAGGTCCCTTCCCACGTTAGGTAATATTTCACAGGATTAGGGTATGGACATCTTTGGTGGTGGTGGGGCATCCTGCTATCAGGAAGGGAACAGAACTGACTTGAGATTGTTGAAATGGCCGTGTGTGTGTGTGCGCGCATGCGCACGCATGTACATATATGTAGACCAGTGTATGTATCTGGGAGTAGGGCAGGCTTAGCATCTAGGCTTAAATTCACATTGAGGCTTTGGGGCTCTCACCCTGCTCAAGTAAAAGCTGTGTAGCTTTGCAGTTTTGCCTTCAGATTGTGTTGTCCAGCTCAGCCACCTGTTGGGATGGGGCAGTCATGCTGACAGCAGCTCCTCTGCTCTTTGAAGAGTAAGGGCCTAGATGTAACCCCTACCAGTCCTGTCTGCTTCACCCAGACTATTCACAACCCCTCCTAAATGAGTGCAGCACCCCACACCTTGGCTACTATGGAAAAGGAAGTGTCACAGAGCATGGAACCGGGCCCTGCTCACTCGGGACCTTCCAACTCCATTGCTCCCCTCAGGCATCCTCTCAGCCTTCTCCACTTTGGAAAACCACCACCACCATTGCCAACACCAAAGAAAGGCTTAAAGGGCCCTGCAATGCCAGTAACATCAGTTTTATTGGGTGGGGCGGCAACTGTAGCCTGGCTGGAGGCAGGGCCAACCCTCACAGATTGTTGAGCTCCAGCAGGGTCTGGTCGAGGGTCTGGTGAATCTCCACGTTCTCCTCCTTGGCACTGGCCAAGGTCTCTGCGAGAGGAAGCAACACATGAGGGGAAGGGGGGACATGAGGAGAGAGACATGGGGAGGCATGGACAGGGGATGTGGCAGACAGACATGGAGGGGGTTGGCGGCTCATGAAGACACAAGCATTCAGGGATCTGAGGACCCCGTGGTAGGGACAAATGGATGGACTGACCAGGACAGACACGGATGCCTCACTCAAGACTCTGGAGTCATGGAGGTGGGATGGGAAGGCCTGAGTCAACAACTAACTTACCCTCATCCTTTAGAAGGTTTAAGAGAGTTGGAAACAGAAGGAAGGACAAAGACTGAGCCAGGAAAGGGAGGGATAGACAGACAGACAGATTTGAGCAGAAAACAGACCTGCAGTGAAAACCCCATGTTGCTGGCATCCAATGTTTTTCCAAACTTCATCTCAGACCTTTCACAACCTGCTTGTCCCTCCCCTTCACCTCACCACCCCATTCCCTTCCGGTCATTCCTTGAGATCCTGGAACCCCAGCTCAGCGCTTCAAGGTCAGTGACAGGCCTGGGTGTGCAGGGGCACCAGAGAGCTCACGGTGACTGATGGAGTTATACCATGCTCACATGCAGCAGTGACAGAGCGACAGACTGTGAGTGCTGTGCAGAGGGGATTTCAGTGTGGACCACAGAGTTTTGTGGGTGTCACAATATTGGGGTGACTATAAGAGCCAAGGTCTCAGCAGTGCTCTTGTGGGGGTAAAGGAAGTGTTCTCTGGAGGGCAGGAAAACAGCATGGAGACCAAGTTGAGTTTATTAAGCAGCAGAGAGAGGTAGAGGCTGGCGGGGGGAGGGGGAAGTGGGTGGATAGAAGGAAGAAGCCAGTGCCAGGGTGGGCAGCACATGTGATGGGTGCTCTCCTAGGCTGTGCCCAGCCTGGCTGTGCAATGCTGGCAATTTTTGCTCCTCCTGACTGATCCCTCCTCAGAGAGAATAGAAAGGAGAGGAGAGAAGAGGGGCCACACTGGTGAGGGGCTCAGAGAGAGGTGATGTCATTGAGTGCGTTGTCCAGCTCCTCACTGATGGCCTTGTACTTCATCTTCTGCGCATAGACTTCGTCTGGAGGGGTCCAGGGATGGGTGGGAGTGTGGGGAGAGGGAATAGAGGGAAAGAGGAAAGGAAGGAGAGAGGATAATGGAAAGAGAGAACAAGAATCAGAGAGGTGGACAAAGATGAGAGAGAGAGAGGCCAGAGAGCAGGCTAGATAGTCGTCAGGGCCCCCTCCTCCCCTCTCTGTACCCGTCTCTTTTGTTCTTCTCTGTACCCTACATTGGTTCTTCTCCCAGGAGTTCCTGTCTCTTCTGGGGACCTGAGGGCATAGTCCTTTGGATAAGCAGGAGTGCTTGCTTCAAGGGAAGGGTGCTCAAGCCAGAAAGACCTAAAGTCTTACAAAGTTGGAGATAAAATTGATGCTTGCCCAGCTGGCATGGCTCAATGGTTGAGTATCGACCTAGGATCCAGGAAATCATGGTTTGATTCCCGGTCAGGGCACATGCCCTGGTTGCGGGCTCGATCCCCAGTGGGAGGTGTGCAGGAGGCAGCAGATCAATGACTCTCTCATCATTGATGTTGCTATCTCTCTCTCTCCCTCTCCATTACTCTCTCTGAAATCAATAAAAACATATTTTTTTAAAAATGAGGCTTGCCTGAGAAGGCTGGAAGCAAGAGAAATTGGAATTATGAAAGTGAAGGGTTATCGTACAATAGAAAGGAAAGACAGTTTTAGGTACAATGTGATAATGAGAAATAGGCATAGACTAGCAAATACCTGGATGATTATTTACACCAAATCTAGCTTAAAGTAGTACTTTATATCAATGTTGTTTTGCAAACCTAGATATTAAACCAAATAGCTCTCTATGTAATAAAGAAGTCTCTGTGATATAGCTCTACTGTGTTGCACTTGGAGATGGAATCGGTGCTACTCAAAGTGTGGTCTGAGGACCAATCAGCAGCATCAGCTTTACCAGAGAGCTTGTTAGATATACAAATTCTCCAGCCCAAAGTCAGCAATCATTTCCGAGTAAGACCCAGAAATCTGCATTTTAAAACCTCTGGGGAATTTTCAAGCATGCTCAAGTTTGAGAAGCACTGGAGTTGTAGCTGGTTACAAATATGTAAATAAATGGTAGGCACCGACCACCAGAGTTTGTAGAGTCCTAGGTGGTCCAACCCTAATTTATCTGTAGCATATATAATGGGATGCAAAGATAAGGGGCAGACTGACAGTCATGGGGAGTGCAGTTTGGGGGTACAGGGGAGATCCCCTTTACCTTCCAGGTCATCGATGGTTTTCTCCAACTTTGCCACAGACCTTTCGGCAAACTCTGCTCGGGTCTCAGCCTGGGAGTAAAGGCAAGATGTGGAAATGACAAAAAAATGAGGCCTTCCTTCTCTTCTATCACTATCTCCAAATTTTCTGCCACAGGCAGTCTCTGGTAGGGACTGTGGGGCTTGAGGGGAGGGTGGAGACTGGAAGGACTCACCTCCTTTAGCTTCTCCTCCAGCAGTTTGATCTCTTCTTCATATTTATCTTCTTTGGTGGAATACTTTTAGGGACATACACATGCCATTAGTAGATTGTCCCCATAAATCCTTCATTTCTCCTGAGCCCCACAGGCTACTCATGATCTTGTCTCCATGGAACACCCAGCCCCACCCTGCCTGGGCCCGTCGCCTCCCTCCCCTGCAGGAACCCATCCTCACTGCCCCTCTACCCCCCTCTACCTTGTCTGCTTGGGCTTCCAGGGATTTCAAGTTGTTGGTAACAATTTTCAGCTCCTCCTCTAGGTCCCCACATTTACTGCAGGGGGTGTGTGGCAGGGTGGGGTGTGAGGGCACAGTGGGGGGAGACAGTGGAGATGGCACAGTGGGGGAGGGGGGAGGAGAGAAGAGAAGAGCAAAGTTGTGAGAGTGACAGCAGGCAGAGTTTGGAAGCCCAGGCCCTTCCCGACCCCCAGCAGATGAGAGAGAGCAGCCTGAGATGGAGGGGAAGGTGAGATAAGAGAAGGCGCCATTGCCCAGAAAGGTCCAGAGAGGTTACTACCTCCTCCTCTGAGGCCATCAGGGACTTGAGGGCCTGGTCCATGGTTCGAAGTTCCTCCTCCAGCTGCCTGGCTCGGCTGGGGGCAGCGGGGAGGGGTCAGATGACAGGACCTGACCCTATGGTCCCAAGTCTGAGAAACTGCCTCCCCACTGTGCAGAGTGCCCCATAACCAAGGGCTCAGGCTAAGTCTCACTTGCCAGCCCAGCGTATCCTTACCTCTCAGCCACCTCAGCTCTCTCTTCTGAGCGCTCCAGCTCTCCTTCCAGGATCACCAGCTTCCTGGCCACCTGGGGTGAGGGCAGAGAGAGAGAAGGAATAGATCCATGGTGAATGACTGGGGGTGTTTGGGGCTTGGGAGTGACAAGGAAGTGGAGCAGGGCTGTCACCTCCTCATATTTGCGATCTGAGTCCTCAGCGATGTGCTTGGCCTCCTTCAGCTGCATCTCCTGCAGCTCCATCTTTTCCTCATCCTTCATGGCTCGGTTTTCAATGACCTTCATTCCTCTGAGAGACAGGGAGAGGGGTGAGAGTGGGGTCAGGACCAGCAGAGACAGCATCCCCCCTCCCTGGCTCAACGCTGAGGGCCCCCTGCCCACCTCTCACTCTCATCAGCTGCCTTCTCAGCCTCCTCTAGCTTTTGCAGGGCTGTAGCCAGGCGCTCCTGCGCCCGGTCCAGCTCCTCCTCTACCAGCTGAATGCGGCGGTTCAGGGAGGCCACATCTGCCTCGGCCTATGGGTTAAAGGTTAGAGATCAGAAAGGCTTTGTCTACCTTGGATGAAGATCAGCGAGGCTCCAGAGGATGGTTAG